GGGTAAATGTCATTAATGAAGAGAAACATTTACGTGGTGTGGCAGACAAGTTTGGTGAATTTATTTCGTGGCAAATGCAATTAAAATGAACTTTTATAATCAATTCGAAATATTGTTATATTTATAAGATAGTGATAATTGATGACTGTAAATTTATATTCAAACATTGTCAATTCGAAATAATATGTATTGATTTTACTACTGATTTTGTTTTGGTCTCAGTCTTGTTACTCTTCACAAAGTTTTCTCAGTGAATTTTGCTAGAAAATAGTTCCTTTAGTTGCGTTTATTTACTTCTGTAATAATTTTTTGAATTGTTTCATTGTATTCACATTTAAATTTTGTGCATTCAGACGCATGTCAATAAAAAAAATACAATCCTCAAGTTACTGCACATGAATCCGATATGAAGGTGTTACAAATAATAAGAAAATATGTTACCTTTCAACTGATTCTGAGAATGTTTGATGTTAATGACATGATGTGACGGCACTGACGTAATAAGTATGACATATCAATGGATTAGAAAATATATTAAGATGGTGTTAAGATATACTATTTATATATTTTATTCATTCTATTATAGCACTTTATTACGTACATCTGTCACAATGCATAAATTCATCACCTTGGTATGAGACTGTATTATAATAACCACATCCTTTGTCCTCAATATAAAAAATTTTAGTGTAGGGCCATCTGATCTACAAGGAATAGTGTCATTCTTTACCTGTCAAACAAAATGAATTTCTTTATCAAGTCTTTTGTGTTTACCTGTCAACAGGTCGCGTGTCTTAACGGTTTCTACATGTAGATATTATCTTCTTTATCTCATTTCTTATACACTTTACTTTCTTTAATGATATTTACAAGTCAACCCAGCATGTAAAGGGTGTTATACTTGACACTGATTATACTGAAATCATATCTCGTGTTTAAACGAAACCCTATCCATAGATTGGCCGTTGTTTTCCCGTCTGAATATTACAGCTAGATTGATTGAACATGTTTCTCTTAAAACACAATTTTCTGTAAGCATATTGTCTCTTCTGGTCAGATATAATGTTACCTACGAACGATTACCGTGCCCCCCCCCCCCCCCTCAAAAAAAAACAACAATAGAAATAACAGATAATACCAAACTGGAATTGAGATAGCAATAGCTACGAGAAATAAAAATGACAGCAATTACATACAGCAATATGCTTACCAACAACTACCAATAGTTTGAAACGACTACCAGCATCTGCCAATAGTTTGAAACGACTACAAGCACTTACCAATCATCTGAAATGACAACCAGTGGCAACCAATCGTTTGAAAAAACTACCAGCACCTACCAATCGTTTGTAACTAAAACCAGTGCCTACTAATCGTTTGAAACGATTACCAGTGCCTACCAATCATTTTAACTACTACCAGCGCCTATCAGTACTACCAACTCCTACCAATAGTTTGAAACGCTTACTAACTCCTACCAATAGTTTAGAACGCTTGCCAACACCTACCAATAGTTTGAAACGCTTACCAACACCTACTAATAGTTTGACACGCTTACCAACACCTACTAATAGTTTGAAACGCTTACCAACACCTACCAATAGTTTGAAACTCTTACCAACATCTACCAATACTTTGAAACGACTATCAGCACCTACTAGTAGTTTGATACGACTATCAGCACCTACCAATCTTATGAATCGACTACCAGCACATACCAATAATTTGTAGCGACTACAGGTACCCACCAATAGTTTAAAACGATTACATTGAAACAAAACCGGTACCAATACCTGTCCACTGATACAAAACCAGTACTCTTATCCACCAACTGATCACAACAGGTACCAGTACCTATCCACTGATACAAAACCAGTACCAGCACCTACAAATCATATGATATCGTCAAATACCATAATCTACCAAAACAAAGCCTGTGACAACAGACTACGTGTACGTCTACTACTATATAGAAGACAGTATATCCCGAAAACACTACTTACACATCCTGTTAGAACACCCAAAACGACAAGGTTTGCAGCCATTGAGCAAGCATTTTGCGGACTTAGAGGGAGTCAGATCCCCGATATTTACGAGAACAATACAAACAACAGCTAGTAAAAATCTGTTATCGACTACAGCAGCGCATGAAATACATCTTACCACTGTCCTAAGCGTGTGACTCAAATGATACAGTTCTTAAAAAAACATGAACAACACTACGAGACATTTTATAGTTACTTGGAATTGATTGACATTTTTAGAATTCACGTTACAAGAAGACGTATTCCAGAAAAGTTTTCAAGAGACTAATATAGTGTGTAGCAGATCTAATATAAAGACCATTTTAAATGTTTATTATGTTTTTTAAGACACTGGACATAGTTTAAGGTTATTTTTAACGAGGTTAATGAACAGTGTGCATTATTTTGTATCCAAGTAAATCTCAACAGTTTTCACCAGTTAAAAAGCAAAGCAAACAATGACGAGGACTGTAATTTAATAACCAGATAAGGAGTGGTCAAAACAATACCTGACCTTAGAATGTATATGGTCAAATTGACCTCTCCCGGTTAAATTTCTCTAAGTCCCGTAATTGAAAAACAGTTAAATCCAAAATAAAATATGGTATGGACATTTTATACCTTGCTAATCTGAGGTGTCTGACTTGAGGTTAATCTCGGATGCTAAACGTTTGTTGAGGTCACACCGTGCTAATGAAATTTAATCTAAAACCACCATTCTTATGATCCACGAAAAGAAAATAATAAAGTACAGAGAATAGTTTGTTTTTTTTATTGTAAAGGATTGTTAGGAACTATATCGATATATTTGTGAATAACTACGTGAAAGGTTATATTTTAAGTTGAAAGATGTACATGTAATTGCTTCCTTGTGGAAACTGTCTTTATAAAATTTAATGTGTTCTCTCCCTTTAACTTATTTTCATAAGTTCAATGGGACACCATACAAATCGTTAGTTATGTTAAGTGGATTTTATATTCATTAAATGTTGTTTATGCCTAAATTGTGTTCAAATGGCGAACATGTAATGTTATTATATTCCAGTGTCAAAAGTGTTTATCGAAGTATCGAACTAAAGGAAATCCGATCTATATCTATAACTATAAGGTATATCTTATGTTGTGTTTTAAGATGTAAAGTTGTGTTAAGTCCCCCCAAAAAATCATGCTGATGTTATACAAAATAAATAAATTATGTCATGTTGTGTTATAAGATTTGAAACTATATAATATTCCAGAGTTCATACAGAACTATATCATGATGTTACATTAACCATTTTGTGTTAATAGAACAAATACTTCAATCACCTTGTGTTTATTTATCTAAAAGTTAACCATGTGCATGGTGTTATAACTGAATCACAATGATTGTGTTAAAGATGTTCATGTTCTTGTCAATTCATGCTCAACGTTTGATTACGTAATTGTTTTTTTCTTATGAATAAAATCATGTATTCATTGTTAAAATACCATCGTTTTGTTCGATTGGGCTTTCTTGATGGTGTACGACTATGGCCCCTTTTACACCAGGCTGTTATAAAGCGTTCCGTTCTCGGCTCAGACCAGGCCGCGTTAAAATATGCCATTTACATTACAGTAAAACTCTTGTGGTCTCTGAAAGGTTCTTCAATATATATGTAGTGAAAATAAAAAGCGTTCTCGACACGGTTATCATTAAAGTTAAAATTAACCCCTATAGTCATCGTGATGTAATTGAAGACATCTGGATGCAATTAACAATTTCACTGAATAATGAAGAAATTCCACGAGAATAGGTGAAGGTCGCTTCTGAAGCATGCGCAGTAAACGTTCTCGGAACGATTACCGTTTACATTTTATCGAGTCTGTTCTGAAAACCGTTCCGAGATCGCCTCACCAATGGGCCAGAATTTGAACGGTACTCAAAACGCTCGACCGTTTGCATTACACTAAATTCATCCTCAGAACGAATAAATTTTGTAATGTAAAAGGGGTTTTTGAGAAAGATTGCGAACGGAAGATCTTTATCTAGCGATCGACTAATCATTAAAACTTAAATCTAATAAACAAATTACGATTGTTTTTTATTGAAACATTATTAACATTCTTAGGAAATGTCATATAACTATATAGATATAAGAAATTTTGGTCACCCATCTTTACAGTTTAATTAAAATCAGACCTAACTTCCGTTAGTATTTTATTACTTTCGTTTCGAATGTTTTATAAGCTTTGTACGTAACTACTACAGTCTAACACTGTCCTTCTTGACTTTTCATTCTGTTAATTTTTGCTTGACCTATGTTTTAACCAATCACGTGGAGGCCCTTTCCAGCGACGGGATAATGTGACGCAAACAATAGGTGCATTCCGAGTCGTATTAGAATGCCGGACTTTATAGACTGCCATCTTAAATACATCAACGACTATACAATGTTATAATTACAGAACATAGGCTATAACATGTTGCAGTAATAGAACCAATATATATCATGCTATGTTAATAAAACTAAAGCTATATAATATTGTGAACAAAAACTATACCGTTTTGTGTTTTTAGAACAAAACATTTATTCATACTGTGTTATTTGAACAAACGTTGTAGTAATTTTTAGAACTAAACATATTTCCTGTTGTATTTGTAAAACAAAAACTTTATCTTGTTGTGCTAATTTTTGTTGTGTGAATTGATTAAGCAAAACCTAAATGAAATTTCTAAAATAACGATTCCTCACTTTTTGTGAAAATCACAAAATCAAAAATGTTTACAAGAATTGACAATCTTTGTATTTATAATATAAGAATCCATGGCCTGTTTTTAAACGGAAATAGAATCATTACTATATCATGCTTGTTTATAGAATTAAAACTAAGTTGTGTTATGTGAACCGAAATAAAATCACAACTGTTATATGAGAGTATTTTATTTATAAAATATTTATGTGTTTGTCTGTCTATTGATAAGTGATGTTAACCTCTTATGAGCTGATTAGATGCGATATCAATCGTATTCAATAGCTGATCCTTCTTTAACCCAATCTCAAATTCCTTTCCTTTTAATTTTATGTTCAGCGAGTATAATCGGTTTCCCTCCAACAATCGCCAAGTTAAGGATTTACGGACTCATTGGATATGGTTATTGAAATATTGCATGCCTTATTCTAATATTTAGAAGTATTGAATTCTATATCTCTGATTCAATTGTAATCCTTCACATTTGCATTTAAATGCGTAATTGTAATTACACTTTTTTGTTCATAAAGTCTCGTGATTGTTCCACTTTGGTCAAATAATTTGCCAAAAGAAGCACTATATCAAGTGTCAATTCAACCAAAACTAGGGCCTACAGCATATTTTAGTATTAGGAACACAGGCGAAGAAAGAAACAAAACAAATCCTCTGGCAACCATTTTGTCTGCACACAGAAACCTGTGTCAAGTCTCATAAACCAGTTCCGTTCTCGGTACGGATACAGTCATCGTATCACGTTTGACATGGTACACTAGATTGGTTCTATTTGAATGTAACCAATCAGATCGGTCATCTAAACAAAACACAAGATCGCTTTGCCACCGCCCGTTTGAAGAGATAAGAACAAATTCTTTCCAAGTAAATATTTCAAAGTAAGATTTGATTTTCTCTCGGCTTCAATTCTGCACCGAAAAGCTTACACAATTCTGTACCGTATATTAATCAAAATATTTAATGGCACAATCTTTTTGTTTTGCTTACGTTCGCAAATAAAGCGTCACAACGAGCGATTTGTTTTGATTGGCTGAAATTCTCCTACCAAGACAGCAGGGGCTATTTTGAGTAGACAATATTTAGCTATAAATACGTAATTTTTCCCACATATTGTATTAATAGAACCAAACGTTATCGGATTGTATTAATAGAACCAAACCTCTATCAGATTGTATTAATAGAACCAAACCTCTATCAGATTGTATTAATAGAACCAAACCTCTATCAGATTGTATTAATAGAACCAAACCTCTATCAGATTGTATTAATAGAACCAAACTTTATCATATTGTATTAATAGAAACAAACCTCTATCAGATTGTATTAATAGAACCAAACCTCTATCAGATTGTATTAATAGAACCAAAACTCTATCAGGTTGTATTAATAGAACCAAAACTCTATCAGATTGTATTAATAGAACCAAAACTTTATCAGATTGTATTAATAGAACCAAACTTTATCATATTGTATTAATAGAACAAACCTCTATCAGATTGTATTAATAGAACCAAAACTCTATCAGATTGTATTAATAGAACCAAACCTCTATCAGATTGTATTAATAGAACCAAACTTTATCATATTGTATTAATAAAACCAAACCTCTATAACTGTATTAATAGAACCAAACCTCTATCAGATTGTATTAATAGAACCAAACTTGATCATATTGTATTAATAGAACCAAACCTCTATCAGATTGTATTAATAGAACCAAACTTGATCATATTGTATTAATAGAACCAAACCTCTATCAGATTGTATTAATAGAACCAAACCTCTATCAGATTGTATTAATAGAACCAAACCTCTATCAGATTGTATTAATAGAACCAAACCTCTATCAGATTGTATTAATAGAACCAAACCTCTATCAGATTGTATTAATAGAACCAAACCTCTATAACTGTATTAATAGAACCAAACCTCTATCAGATTGTATTAATAGAACCAAACCTCTATCAGATTGTATTAATAGAA